CCCCCGGGCAGGCTGCAGCGGCTGCCCGGGGCGGGGGCCATGTTAACCACCACAGCACCGGCCAGCAGCGCCCTTCCCCCCACGGCCACAGGGCCCTACATGGCCAGGCGCAGCCCGCCTCGGGCAGCCCCGAGCTGTGCATCATTGGCGGTGGCCAGGCCGACTGGGCACCGCATGCGCTGTGTGCCCGGAGGTGGGGCCGTGTGCCCCGGGGGTGGTGCCAAGTGCCCTGGGCCCAGGGTGCCAAAATGGCTCGGTCCAGCCCTGGGCTCTGCGCCCCCCATGCAGCATGGGGAACGTGTAGCCCAAACGGCCATTTGGGCTCCGCGGTCCCCCGAGTGAGAGTGAGAGTGAGAGTGAGAGACCAAAGGCTCAGGAGAGAAGATCAACATGGAGGAGAGACCTGAAAATCCCATCTTATGACGGGCTAATTGGCTAGTTTATAAAGAATGGCGTAGGACAGAGCTACTCGACACACGGCCCGTGGCCTGTTCGCTTGCGGCCCGCGGTGCAGTTTGGGCTTACAAGGGGCTCAACACGCCACCTGCGGGTGGGAGCCAAAACAAAACAGGAGTCAACAGAATGGTTTTCTGTTGAGAGGCATTTTCGTAGTTAACTTCATGGACTGTCACTGCTCGGGAAAAGTGCAATGGGTGGAACAGCAGAACTGACTTAAATGGTGCCTGTGTGTGGTGCAGTCTTGCCTTACTCTTTGTATTCATGCTCATCAGTGTGAAAGAAGCTATTTGCATATATTTGCATGTATATGTAACCACACTTAAGTTGGGCCCTCCATGTGCTAGGAGTATCATTGTGGCCCCGGGGGGGCTTCCAAAGTTGAGTAGCCCTGGCGTAGAAGGTCATCAGGAAGGATTGTATTTGTTAATGACTGAATCTCTAGGGAATTTACAAGCGAGCAACCTAATAATGGTAAAGGCAAACCCATCCAAAGTCAGAGAATTTACACTGCATTTCATTGGCTCAAGTGACTTGTAATCACCCAGACTCGCTGTTCCAGGAATGCTAATTGCTGCATTTACAAATGGCAGTTTGTGAGCCGGGGCTTTGATATCCAAGGCAACTGACATTTAGTTACTCAGAAAAGTTTGCAACTGGATCTCAATAACTTAGGAGAAAAGCCTCTGTCATAGGGTTGGGACTGTAAGACACAGATCAACGGTCACATACCTGAGGATGTTTGGGTAAAGAGAACTCTTCCCCCCACCTGAGGGAACAAACAAAAAACCCACCACAGATAAGTGTGAAGAGAGGTTGTGGGAACTTTGATTTAATTCAGCAGCTATCACGGCTGGATTCACTAATGCAAGGGGGACACTTAAGAGATCTGCATCATAGTAAATCTCATTGAACTCAGGCACAGAGTAACTCTCCTCAACAGTTCTCATAGTGGTAACTAGTTCCCCCCTCAGAGAGCAGAGTCATCCAGCAGATATTAGTTATTTGTGCCATGCTTGGTTCAATCTAGAAAAAGCCTCTTGTTTCAGGCTCTAGCCTCCTTGACAATTTAACAAGCTATTAAAAAAAAGTAATTCAGGGATCATACTACACCATTTATCCTAGTTAAAACATGCAACTCCCACTGTCGAGGAGAGAATGGCACACCATCCCTTAATGAGGTCTAGGTGCCTCACGGAGGGGAATTTTCCCTTTCCAACTAATTGCTGGAAAAGTGACTCCCATAAGCCAGGATTGTTAGGAGAAAAGAGGAAGCATGAGCCAATGGTTAGGTAGCAACCCATGACATTAAAGAACTGGGGTGGGGCTCTACCACAGACTTCTTGTGTGACCTTGGTCAATTCACTTAGCCTCTCACTGGCTCAGTTCTCCCTACCCCCCAAACCTGTAAAATGGAAATACTAGCACGTCTGTACCTTAGAGGGTTTTCGGAGGATAAATACATTATAGCCTGTGAGGCAGTAAAATTATTCAAGTTGTTCTTGCCTTCCAAGTCTCCTCATGTTAGTACAATACCCACAGTATACAGTCAGCTACAGAGCTGAAAAGCTAATCCCCCCCCAATAAATCCACTGAGTTATCAATAACCCCATCAGAATTTAAATGCTGTAGAAACTATCCAGTGGAAGTGAAACTAGGAATCTATGGCCTTGTCTAAACTAGGGACAAATACACAACATCCTAATCTTATTAGCAACCATCCTAATCTTAATAAGGCTGCAGTAATTGAAACACTTTAAACTGGTCAAGATAAAACCCAAGCTTCCTCTGACATTTTAACTCCATCAGGTTAATATGTTCGGAAGCACAATTGCCTTGTTTCATGAGTTTTAGATGAGGTTAGTCAGATGAAGCTAACTCAGTCTAACACTACACTTGTAATGTATTAAGCAATTCCCTGACGTTCTGGGCTCAGAGTATTTTTATTTCCTGTCTGCTTCCATGTCTTTGATAGTGACTGGCTGAAACACATGAGAAGAAGCAACATTATTTAAATAATTTATACAAACATTGTCCGATTAATCCTCATGGCAGAGAGCATGGTAGATACTTCAATTTTATATCCTGGACAACAGGCAGGAGTTAAAAGAACTTCCCCAAAGCCCCCACATTTCTTCCTACTCTTTATTCACTGGTTTTCAGAATTTAGCTTTTAATGAGATGGTGTTGGCTACTCACCCAATGGATCTTATTTTGTACTTCATTCTGTCAATGGAAAGCACTTTCACCTCCTGCAAGCAAAGAGCAAATCAGGGAAAATAGAGTGGTCATTAAGAGGACTCATCATATTGATTTATAATCACTGGATGAAGACTCCCTGTGAACATGCCCTCACACAAAGCCAATATTGGCATCATCATCAGAACCTAAAGCCAGTGTTTGAACAGCACCAGAGGGGAACGCTAAGGGTCAGAATGGAGATGTACATAGAACAGTTATTACAGTGCTAGAAGATGTACTGTGGTTGTTCCGGTCCTTCAGGGCAGGGGATTGGCAGGGGCGGGCGAGGGTGTAGGAGCTGGCAGGGGCTGTGCTGGCCAGGTGGTGTGTCGGAGGGGGTGGGCAATGTGAGAATCTAACCTCCACTCCTGCTCCCTGCTGTCCCAATGGGATTACAGCTGTCCCAATCCCCATCTCTGGCCCCTTGCTGCCCCCCTGTGGTCATTACACAGTATAACTGTCCCTGCCAGCAGCCCCCTTCCTTTCCATGTTATGAAACGCAACCTGTCACATTCCAGGCACATCCCATTGTCCTGGCACAACCAAACCCTGACCTTGCTTTAAGTTATGATAAGAGGAAGCTGCCTACCAAATTCAGTGGTCCTAGCTCTTACTGTTGAGGCGGCGTTCTTGAACTAACAGACAGACGAACACAGAGATACTCACTCGCAGACAAAATAAACTCTCAACTGTATAGTAGATAATGGCACCTAATGACTAACATTTACAACAGCAACACTAAAAACACATTCCTTGCCTCTCCCTAGCCTTTGTTTCTACAATCCCCCATGCGCTGGCAAGTCTAAGGGGTTGTTGATTCTACCTTTACTGCCCCTGTTACTGCTGTTCTTAGAGCAGGTAATGGTAGAGAATATGCCAGTCCTGAAAGATGGAAGACACTTACCCTGGGTACAAAGAACTGCTCGGCACTGAATTTATACAGCCACTCATTCAAGAAGTTATAGAGAAGAGAGAACAGGTCATGTCCTGCGGCACAGAAGCAGAGAGAAAAAGGGATTCAACAGGAAGCCCCAATAAGAACTTCCCAGACATTCTTTAGCCCATCTCAAAGGGACAGTTTCCAGAGCAACGTACTACACACAATTGGGAGAGTTGCATGAAACTCTGAGCGCAATACCAGAGTGTAAATCTGGATGCAACAGATCTGTAGCAGAACTTCATCGAAAGAGACCGCTCAGACCTTTCTTCCAATGCACTTCTCTTTCAGTGAGTTCATCTAACAGCCCCATTGCCTTCTTACCTTCTGTCTCCACTTCTACAGTATCCAAGGGTTCGACAGTTTCTGTATCCGTCATGTAGCCAAACATGGCCATCACACACTGTTCAAAAGTCTCTTCCAAGGTATCTCCCCAGGCATGTAACCTACAGACACAGCTCCATTACTCCAGCATTCAACAGTAACAAAGGAAGTGCAGACGTGGCACGTCTGCTTTGAAATGTACAAGAGCCCCAGCAGGGACTCTGGTGCATTTCAAAGGTGGAACACTGCTGCTGCACCCTGCCCCCTCCCAGGGAACTGGCTTTTAAGCCATCTCTCCCCCAGCAGCCCCTCCTCGCTTCCTTTCTGATAGAGGCAGCAAGGGGTGGGCGAGGGGGGGAAGCAACTAGTGTGCCAACTATTCGATAAGCTTTTGCTTATCGGATAGTTGATTAGTCGCTTATAATCCTAATGCAGAGAAGCGCAGACCTGCCATCACCTATAAATAGGGACCCTTGGAAAGAAGATTAGTGAAGTACTGCTGAAATACTGAAAGAGAAAAGGGGATTCTTTTTAGAGGGATAAAGTAGTAAATGTTTTAATAAAAGCAGAAATGTCCTTCCTAAAGAGGGGCAGCTGGCATGCATGGAAATGGATCACTTGAAAATAAGAGGTAGAATATCATTTCAAAAGAACAAAGAATACTTAGCACCCCCGCAGTAGCAGAACATTTTTATAGTGTGGGGTGCTGAAAGCCACTCAACAAAACTAGATTTTGTATACGAGAGAAACCACTTTACCAGAAGATGCTGCTGCTCTTCTAACATCCCTAGTTCCCACACCCCTTCATCTCAGCATGCTCACATGTGGCATTCCAGAAGCTCAAAGGGGACATATTTGGCCTGACTCTTCCCACATCAATTTACGTAGATGCAAGCCTGCTGATGTCAGTTACTCCTGATTTACATCAAACCGTGACAGAAGAAATACATCTTACTGAGGTTACACACAGAAATTGAAGCAAAAAAATACTCACTGCACGTCAGCTGTGTGATCCAGATCTGAGGGAGTAGAAAATATATATAGTTACAAGGTCATCATGGTGGTTTACAAATAAGCAATAATATGGAAGAAAAAAAAGTCAGGTCTTAAGATTTTTTTTTGGTGCTTCTTTTGGTGAAATTGGTTTAGATGAATAAATTGGAACCAAACAACACACAGTCTGTTTTATTACACAGGTGCACCTATGAAGTACAAGTTCTGTTAAATCTACCTCTGAGTTTCATGCAGATCACCATTTGCTTAGTTAAGGCCCAGACATATTTCTGACTGGACAACTGTTGAGAGGCTGCTAACAGACACCGGAAGTAGAATAACATATTGCATTTAAGCAACACGTACAACCAACTCAAGATCAGCAACAAGAACAGGGTCCTAGAAATTTAGGGATCTGTTCTCAATTTGATGTGCAAGCATAAACACGGGGAATTTCCACACTCCATGCTTTTTCAGTGCTGACAGAGCTATGGACAGAGGAAACCTCAGGATGTGGCTCCTCACAAGAGAAGGGGGGCCATGGTTTAGCTAAAAATAGCATTCTGAAGAAGCAAGAGAGCAAATATTCACTCTGCAGAAGTTACTCCGTTTGAAGTTGAAATAAAAGCTCTACCCTGGCAGAGATTAATGTAAAATGTGCACTAAGATTGAAGAGTTTTTTTAAATTATGCAGATTAAACATCCACATATACACACACAGAATTAATATAATTAAGAGTAGTGAAACTGCCGGGTTGAATCACAAGAGTCCCTTGGGGTTGTCCCCCAGAGTGCTGATCATGCCATTGGCACCAGTCTTCCTGGCCTTTGAAGCACCCCATCATCCTATCCTGCTGGGCCAGATCCCCTAGCCAAGGAACAGAGTTAGGGTGACTGCTCTTCTGCAGAAGCTAGAAAGGGTGCATCAGTGCTACTGCATTGTCAAACAAGTTATAAAACACCATTTCAAAGCAGAGATGAACACAATCTACACCTCCTATTTCTAGCAAAACACAGGTTTCCTCCAGTTCTTATGAGATTAGGGATGTTAAATTTCGATGAATCAGCTAATCAATTGGTGGAATTTCCATCAACTACTCAATTCGTCGATAAGGGGGGCACTCACTATCCCGCTGCGCCTCTGCCTTTGAAATGTACAAGAGCTGCAGGTGTCTCTTGTACATTTCAAGGAGTGAGGCACAGCAGTAAGAATGTCTCTGCCTCCCCTGCCCCTGTGGAGATAGTGCTGGGGTGGGGGGGAACCGGCTTTTAAGTGGTCTCCCTGCAGGACTGGCTCCTACCCCCCACCACTGTCTCTCTGATAGAGGCAGCAGAGGAGAGATGTGACCAGTCAAGTGACTACTTGACTACCTGATAAGCATATGCTTGTCCACTAGTCGCTTACATCTCTATATGAGATATTAGAGGTTTTTACTGCACCAACATAGCAAATTAGTTATGAGGACTACGTATCTGTGCCAGTTTCTTCTTTCCCTTCAAGGCAGAGAGGTGTCAGGTGTCTGGTATGTTCTAGAGGCTTAGGCCACAAGCCTTTTTTGCTCATTTACAGCTTTTAAACAATTAAGAAGATTACAAAAGAAGGAGAGGGACCCACAATAAAGAAATGTTAAATTATGTAACATTAATTTATAAAACTACAATTTAGGGATCTAGAATTTAAGTCAACTCACTGTAACAAAATAATTTGTGGAGTCCTTTTGTGGCACTTTAAAGATAATAAATTTATTTGGGCATGAGCTTTCATGGGCAAAGACCCACTTTGTCAGATGCATATACTACTAATATGGCTACCCCTCTGGTACTTGAAACAAAATTGTAAAATAACCATATTTGTTGGAAGCAGTTCTAAACTCAAGTCTAAAATAAGTAATATGCCATGGATCATCTGTGTCGGTTCCATAATCACTTATCTGCTTTGTGAATAGTTTCCTTACCAACTGTCTCTAACAACAGTCAAACTTCAGCCAGACAATACAAATCTTCTCTGAGTACATACGGAAGATTGGTTCCATTTTGACTGGTGGAATATGCTGCTCTTGTACGAGCTAAACAATAGATGCTAATGAAATTACACAGACTACGCTCCCAAATGGGAACAGCTCAACTAAAACTGCAGTAGTAAGACACAGGCTGCTCTTCCTAAAATAAACGCCTAAAGTTATTAAATCAGTGCAGGAAGGAATTCCTGGGGAGGAAAAGGGGGAGGAGGGTCACCTTGGCGAAAGCCTCAAAGATGCAGATTAAAGCATGGCATGCAAAAAACAGAACAAGACAAATGTGCAGAGAAGATGGAAAAAAAAATACATTCTTCAGCGAAAATCTTAAGCATTTGTCTAGAGACAAGAAACAGCTGAGAAAGAGAGTTTCTCTGGCTGCTTTTTATAAATAGGAGTCGTTATTCATACCCCAGAAAGGCACAAAACAATTCAACACACAACTCCTACAGCCACACTCCTACATCCTGCAAGTGAAAACAACATGAAGCACTAGTGCATTCAAGAGATTCACCTTTCCATAATGTGCCTCCTCCCCCCTGCACCACAGGGGCCATGTCTGAACAAGGCTAGGAGTACTCACACTCATACTTCTTATTGACAGGAGGGTACTTGGCTTTAATGGCCTTCTGGTCCTCTGTCAGGTTATAGTCCCTGTAGTTATCTGCCATGATCACACTTGGATGTGCAGTGCTCACTTCCTGCTTTATAAAGATGGCCACCCCCTTGCAGGCTTCTGCCAGGGAAATTTCTACACGTGATTCTGATGCTTAAAGAGATATTTCTCTTTCAGTCAGGCCAGCCTCTGAGGGGAAATCAAGAGCAATTGGGGAAGAGCGCTTTTACTGTAACTGCATGTAGGCAGCAGCACAATTGCAGAGGAGGCTATGGAACTGTGATGCTTAAAAGCTTCAGAGGGGTAGCCAAGTTAGTCTGCAACAGGAAACACTTAAAAAACAACAAATAGACTAGTAGCACCTTAAAGACTAACAAAACATGTAGATGGTATCATGAGCACGAAAGCTCTTGATGCCATCTACGGCTACGGCTACGGCTACGGCTACACTGGCATGATTTTCCGGAAATGCTTTTAACGGAAAACTTTTCCGTTAAAAGCATTTTCGGAAAAGCGCGTCTAGATTGGTAGGACTCTTTTCCGGAAAAGCACTTTTTGTGGAAAAGCATCCGTGGCCAATCTAGACGCGCTTTTCCGCAAAAAAGCCCCGATCGTCATTTTCGCGATCGGGGCTTTTTTGCGGAAAACACTACTGTGCTGTCTACACTGGTCCTTTTCCAGAACAGTTTTCCGGAAAAAGACTTTTGCCCGAACGGGAGCAGCATAGTTTTTCCGGAAAAGCACTGATGATTTTACATTAGATCGTCAGTGCTTTTCCGGAAATTCAAGCGGCCAGTGTAGACAGCTGGCAAGTTTTTCCAGAAAAGCAGCTGATTTTCCGGAATAACTTGCCAGTGTAGATACAGCCTATATGTTTTGTGATAGTGAAGTGTGCCTCTGTGAATACCCATGTCCCCGAATCCTTCATTTATGAGGGGGAATTTAGGCTTTGATTCTGCAAAGATTTTTGCATGTGTGTTTATAACTTTACGCACTGTCAGTAGTGATTTTGCACAGTGGGCCAAGTTAAGCATGTGCCTAAATCTTTGCAGGCTTGGGGCCGCAAATGATTAACTCCTTGAGGCCGGATGAAAGTCTTGCTTTGTGTTCTGCACCGCCCCCACCATGCTGTCAATGCTCCGTAACAGGGTGATATTAAAACCAAGGTAATAACGTAGTTATTGGAGCGGGGGCCTGAGTTTGCAACTGTCAAATGCTGTCAGCTCCCCCCGAAGTCGTGGCAATATGAGGGTATTCAACACCTTACAGAACGATGTTCAGTGTGCACATGGGGGAGTGAGTAAAGAAGGCAAGGGCATGGGCAGTGGGCGAACGGCTGGCTTGGGGGGGAAAGCCCCCAATCCCACTTCTTCCACCCAAAGCTCCGCCCCTTCTTTGGCCACCGGAGCTCGCTCAGCCCCTGTTGTAGTCACCGGCCCCATCCTAACCATGACCCCAGCCCCTTCCATTGTAGCTGTTGGCCCAAGACTGGCAGGCCCCCTACTCTGGTTGTCAGGCAGCATGGCCTTAGCCCCTCTCACAGTATTGACACACAGCCCCAGCCTCGGCATGCCATGCATCCACAGCCTTCCCAGCCCCAGAGCACCTCCTCCTCTTCCAGGGGCCAGCCCCAATGCCAGGCCAAGAATAGCCTGATGCACCAAGGTAGGAGGGCTCCTGATCTGGGATGGACCATGGGTGAGGCATGTACCCAAACAGACATGGGTGGCTCTACCCCAAGTCAAGCTCCCTGCTGTTTGTGTGCAGCCAGCTGCTTTGGCCCGGCACCGGGGCTGGCAGTTGGAGGGGGAGACCACGGTCAGGTCTGGCAGTGTAGCCTGTGCTTCCTGGCCCCCCGGTGCTTCTGCCACTTGGCGCTCCCACTTGGGGTGTGAGGTGCTGAGAGACAGGGAAATCTTCGTCCCCCGGGGTCAGTGGTTGCTAGGTCTCAGTGTCCAGATGAGTGAGGTCTTCATTGTCTCCTGGATTTCCCGTTCTCAGCCAGTCCTTTTTTATGACTCAGTCTCATCTAATCCACTCAGATCACACAGACTCACCTATGTCTTCGGCTAAGCCCACGCTACCACTTATCATTATGTCGTATCATTGATATCAGTGAGAGGCCTGGATAAGCCATTCCCAGGGTCATCCCTACTGATATGAGAACTTGGGGCCTCAAATTTCATGGTGTCCTAACAGCTGTGTGTTGTGTATCGGCCGGTGGCCAGTCCCATCCCCTGCAAGTCCCCTGCCTGCGGTCTCAATGCCGGCTCCTGCAGCCAGCCCCATCCCTCGCCTGTCCCCCATGCAGTCAACTAACCAATAAGAATTCATGAGGTTAATCAGCTAGTCGATTAACCGATATTTAACATCCCTAGTTTAGAGCAGCTATTCTAGAGAGCTCACAGTGGTGCAGCTGCATTTTTGAGCTATGCTGCTGTAGGTGCTCCAGCGTAGCCATAGCCTCAGCCTTCTCTGAGAGCAAACAGTCCTTTTCCACAACTTGGTAGCCACCCAAAATTGGAAACTGAGGTATTCCTAAAATGACAAAAATTTCCCACTCTGTCGCAAACCTCATGATAGTTGAGGTAAAAACAATGAAGAGTACGGTTCACCTTAGAGACTAACAGATTTATTAAGGCATAAGCTTTTTGTGGAAAAACCGACTTTATCAGATGAATTGGAGTGGAAGTTATAGAAGCAGGGGGTATATTTAAGGAAGAAGTTGCTTGTGTGAATGAAGCTAATCAAGTCAGGGTGGAAGTGGGTCATTTATAGCATTTGTATGGAGATGTGAATATCCAGAGAGGAGAAATTGCCTTTGTAATGCGGTAACCAGTTGAGATCCTAATTCAATCCTAAATTGATAGTGTTGAATTTGTAAATGAATTCCAGGTCAGCTGTCTCCCTTTGTATCCGGTTTTTTAAATCCGTTCAAATCCATTACTGACTGTCCAAGGAGGTTAAAATGTATCCCTACAGGTTTATGTGTGTTACCATTCCTGAACTTCATTACAAAGGCAATTTCCCCTCTCTGAATAGTCACATCTCCACGTCAAATACTATGAATAACTAGGTTGACCATACATACTGATTTTTCCGGGACTGTCCTGATTTAAAGGACTCTTTCCTGGTCCCGCATCAAGTAGTGAAATGTCCTGGAAAGCCCTGCTGGAAAGTCCCCCACTACTTGACGGGGACTCAAACGGGAAGAAGTGACTGTGAGTCCATTGCTCCAGGTGCGGCGCAGCATCAACAGCGTGTTCCCAGCTGGGGCGGGCTTTTGGTGGCACGTAGTTTCTGACCACTTCATCACCCATTGCCCCACCACCGCACAGCCCCCTTCTTACTCCATGGGACTGCCTCTGTCAGATGGGGTCCGGGTCCAGCTGTACAGCCTCCTCCTCCACATGTGCAGGCGGTGGCTTGTTACCCCAGCCACTCATGTTGGGAGAGAGAGGGTGGCTGAGTAGGGTTGCCAGGTGTCCAGTTTTGAACTGGACAGTCCAGTATTTGAGCTTTCTGTTCGGGAAACAAGTTGAGAAAATAGAAACGAGAAAATAGAAATGTCCGGTATTTTCTAAATAAGATGTAATGTAGATTGTGATGTCATATCAAGTGTGTCCGGTATCTTTATTGAAACCATCTGGCAACCCTATGGCCGGGTCCAAGGTCTGAGTAGCCGCTCCCGAACTTTAGCACTTTTGAACTGCTGCCTGAGCCCCGGCAGGGGACGCGCAGAATCCTTGGGGCTGGCTCCCGCTCTCTCTCCCCCGCACCCCTCCCCGCCCCGCTGGGGGAATGGCAGTGAGCCTGGTCTGGCGAGGTATGTTGGGGTTTCTTCACACACCCCCATGCTCTGTCAGTGGGAAGCCTGACCTGGTGCTGCAGCCCCGTGGATGCACTGGGATCCCCGCTGCATGGGGGCGGGGGACTGAGTTCCTGTTCCCTTCCCCCCTGCAGGGGGAATGACAGCGTGCAGTCTGGAGGCTTTCCCTGCTGCAATGGGGTGCCAAGCCAGATAAGCACCCCCCTCATGCTAAGGCCCCGCACCCAAATCCCCCTCACTCACTCCCCTCCCCCCTCTAAGATCCTGCATTCCCGGCTTGCTCTGACACCCTCCCTTGCTCCTGCACTCTCCCTCCTGGCCAGACACCCTACCCCAAACCCCTTCCTGTACATTCCTTCCTGGCCAGACATCCTCCCTCCTGGCCAGAAACCCTACCCCCAGACTACTCCTGCACCCTCCTTTCTGGTCAGGGACCCTATGCCCAGCCTGTCTCTGCACCCAACCTCCCACCCAGACGTCTCAACCTCTCCCCTTTCTGCACGTACCTCCCAGATTCTGAACCTCATCCCTATCCCACACATTGGCAGCCCTGTCCTGCACACGGAACCCCCTTTTTTTTCCACGCCTGAGCCTAGGCTCACCATGGGCAGGGGCTGCTCAGGCCAACAAGGAGCTGAGCCCTTCACGACGGGGTTGCTGCCGCTAAGCAGCCCCTGTTCACAGTGGCCTGGGCTGTCTGACGTGAACAGAGGCTGCTGGACTCAGTGCAAGCCGGGACCAAGCATTCCTGGCTCGTGCTGGTTGCTACACCTCTGAATTTTAAATGTACTAAGAGTCCGGCAGCTCTTACTACATTTAAAATTCAGAATTTCAGCACCTGTGGCTCCCAGACCCGGCACGAGCCAGGACTGCTGAGTCTCAGCTTGAGCCAGCTCCTGAAGCTACCCTCAACTACACGATTAGCTTGATAACTACAATTTAACATCCTTTCCTTGAACCTCGTTCCTCTTGGTCCCATCCCCTCACCCTGTGGGGCTAGGATGCCAGAAGAGTGAAGTGTCTCAGTTAAGGGCCAGCTCAGTGTGGGTTGGGGGTTTTTGGAGGAATTTTTTTGCTTCTGGCTTGTGTGGCCCCCAGCTGATTTTTTTGTGGGTTAGTGGCCCCCCAACCCAAAAAAGGTTCCCCCCCCTGCCATAAATAAAGAAAAAATTGAAACCTTTTGTGATGGTCATAAATTAATATTTTACTGTATTTAAAATGAAGTTTGATAAACTAACACAAGAAAGTTAAAACGCTTAATCTATTTAACAATTTAAGTCAAACCATTCTCCCTAGCTGCAGCACTAGCAAAACGGCTTGAGAGTAATTACATAATTCACAGTGAGTTTCCATTAGCAAATGGTGGTCTGCAGAAAGGTTTACATTGAGCCAGGTGGTTCATGGGCCAAAAAATTTGAGAGCCACTGAAATACAGGCAACCCTGGCCTCTTCCCCCGAGTTAATGCAATGCAAGTTGGATTAATGCAATTTCAGTATGGTTGCATGGGAGGGTCCTATGGGGGCCAAACCCATCCCTATTGGCAGAGGACAGTGGGAGGAGTTCTTAGAGGCGTCACACGATACCCTTTACTTCCAGTCATGTGTCCATCTTAACCCTGGAAGTACTACCTCCGGGGGTGGGACTTTATGTAGCAGGTGGGCAGGGACTAAGAGATCAGGGGATGTGGCTAATGAGGCTGGGGGCGTGGCCAATGTGTCCTTTTTTTGGTTCAGAAAATATGATCACCGTATGAATAATCCACTTTCCCCCCCTGGCTTGATTAGCTTCATTAACACAAGTAACTTCTCCCTTATATATACTCCTGCTTTTGTAACTTGCGTTCCAATTCATCTGATGAAGTGGGTTTTACCTACGAAAACTTATGCTCTAATAAATCTGTTAGTCTCTAAAGTGCCACAGGACTCCTCATTGTTTCTGCAGACACAGATTAACACGACGACTCCTCTGATAGTGGTAGTAGTGTTGGAACACTAGGTGGGCTTTACCCTTCGGTCACTTGCTCAGATGAGTACCATAGTGCTGGCATTTGGGACACGTCCATGCAATGACACGGGATGACCCCAGCTATTAGGGGAAATGCACTTAATGCAGTGCCAGGCCAGAGCGTTGCAGGGATGCCCATCTGGAAATAGTTTTCCACAGTGGTACCTGCAGGAGGGGGTGCAATGGCTTATCCCACCTCCCAGGCTGACCCCAACTGAGGCACACACAAGGGCTAGAAGTTGATACTCTATAGGCTACGTCTAGACTGGCATGATTTTCCGGAAATGCTTTTAATGGAAAAGTTTTCCAAGTTTTCCGTTAAAAGCATTTTCGGAACAGAGCGTCTAGATTGGCATGGGACGCTTTTCCGCAAAAGCACTTTTTGCGGAAAAGCGTCCGTGCCAATCTAGATGCGCTTTTCCGCAAAAAAGCCCTGATCACCATTTTCGCGATCGGGGCTTTTTTGCGGAAAACAAAGCTGAGCTGTCTACGCTGGCCCTTCTGTGCAAAAGTTTTTTGGAAAAAGACTTTTGCCCGAATGGGAGCAGCATAGTATTTCCGCAAAAGCACTGACAATCTTACATGAGA